ACAAGTTTAGGTGAGACTCAATTGCTCTTGACAGGTGGGTGTAAGAGAATAATATTCAAAAAAATTTTTTTGTCAGAGTAAAATTAGATTGGAAATACTTAAAGGACTGTCAAGACTTTAGAGAACTTTGGAAAACCTGTAATTGCATTTTAACCTCTTAGTTCACAGTTCAGAGGCTCACAGTCTTGCCTTAGTATTGATTAAGCTGCCTCAACTGTCCTAACAGAAAAAATACCTATATGGTGTGGCCCACAGAGGTGTATCTTTGATATAACCAGAAGCAAATTCACTGGTTGGCTGTGAAACCAGTTGCAAATTTTGGGGAAGCTAGGACCCTCAATTACATTTCTAAAGGTAGCATGGTGAAATAGAATAAAGCATTAGAGAATTTTCCGAACTGGTGGCTATCCTGCATTTATGACTCATGTGACTATGAGAAGATTAAAACACTTCTCTGAGCCTGTAACACTGGAATATTTTCCATGTCTACTTTATAGGGTGCAGTAAGGATCAGTACAGTATTATTGGGTTAGGCAGGGTAACGTGTCCTTTTCCTGCAAATGTCTCGCCTTAATCTCTGGAAACTGTAAATATAAGTGTGATCGACAAGATAAAGCAGAAATCAGGCTGAAGATGGAATTCAGGGTGCAAATCAGCAAACCTTAAAATTGGGAGATTCGGGGCTGGCATTGTGGCACAGTGGGTTAAGCTGCTGCCTGCGACTCTGGCATCCAATGAGTGTTGGTTCAGATCCTGGCTGCTACACTCCTGATCCAGCTCTCTGTTAACACACCTGGAAAAGCAGCAGAAGATGGCCCAAGTGTTTGGGTGCTTGTCACCCACAAGAGAAACCTGGATGGAGTTCCAGGCTCTTGACTGGGCCCCTGCTGTTGGGCCATTTGGAGAGTGAACCAGCAGATGAAAGATCTCTCTCTCTCTCTCTCTCTCTCTCTCTCTCTCTCTCTCCTTCTCTCTCTGTAACTTTGTCTTTCAAATCAATCAATCAATCTTTAATTTAAAAAATTAGAAGATTACCTGAGGTTAATGAAGTTGACCCAATGGGATCACAAGGTACCTTGTAAGTGGAAGAGGGAGGCAGAAAAGAGAGACTCAGAGAGCTGGCAGCATGAAAGGTCTCAGCCTAATGCTGCTGCTCTGCCGATGAAGGAATACAACCGTCAGCCAGGCGAAGTGGGCAGCCAGTAGGAGCGGAAAAGGCAAGGAAACAGATTTTTCCTGAGAGCCTCCAGAAGAAACGCTGCCCTGTGGGTCCACTTTAGATTGCTGACATCGAGGACTGTACCAGAGCAAATTTATGTCGCTTTAAGCCAATTAGAATGTGGTAATTTGTTAGAGCAGCAATTGGAAACAATAGTATGCAAAAATATTTTGAAACTGGAAGGAAATTATGTCAGATAGTATTATTCTAAGGTGACATCTCAAGCCTGTCTCTTCAGCAGCTTAATAGAAGACAATATGGTTACTGGGAGTTCTTCAATTTTTTTTTTTTTTTTTTTAATTTGAAAGGCAGAGTTGCAGAGACAGAGGGAGAGACAGAGAGAGGTCTTCCATCTGCCGGTTCACTCCTTAAATGGCCTCAACAGCTAGGGTTGGGCCAGGCTGAAGCCAGGAGTCGGAAGCTTCTTCTAGGTCTCCCACATGGGTGCAGGGGCCCAAACACTTGGGCCGTCTTCCATTGCTTGTACAGGCACATTGGAAGGGAGCTGGACTGGAAGTTTAGCAGCCAGGACTAGAACCGGTGCCCATAGGGGAAGCTGGAGCCGTGAGCAGAGGATTATCCCGCTATGCCACAATGCCGGTCCCTGGGAGGTCTTCAGTGTTATACAGCATTAAGGCAGACACTTACCCTTCCTGTTCCAGTGCCTAACCATTTTGCTTTTAGCACTCATTTTATTTAAGAGGCAGAGTTAATATATAATTATCAAACCAGCCACCTGCCTTTCTCCTTCCCTAGTTTTTCTTCAATTACTCATTCTGAGTAGCACAGCAGAGTTATGTACAGATAACTCATACTTTGTTAAAAAAAAAAGTACATATCTAAATACACACACATATACACGTACATGTATATATCAACACATATCAACTTAGTTTTCTCATCAGTTCAAATAAGAATGTTAATTACTTTTCTCTCATAGGTTAAATTATCTTTTTTTTTTTAAATTTATTTATTTAGTTGAAAGAGTTACAGAGGGACAGAGGGAGAGAGAGAGAGATCATTCATGTGCTCGTTCACTCCCCAGATGACCACAATGACCAGGGTTGGGTCAGGCCAAAGCCAGAAGCCAAGAGCCAATTCTGGGTCTCCCATATGGGTCCAGGGGCCCAAGCACTTGGGCCATCTTCTGCTGCTTTCCCAGCAGCATTAGCAGGGAGCTGGATTGGAAGTGGAGCAGCCGGCACCCATATGGATGGTGGCACTGCAGACGGCAGCTTAACCTTCTGCACCACAGCACCTGCTCCTTGGTTAAATTATCTTTAATTTATGAAGCAGAATTAAAGTTTCAGAGTTACATTAACCCAAATTTTATAAAATAATCTAGTAATAAAAATCTAAGTGTTGTATTAGGGACTAAAACACACAAACTCATATTTTTAAGTTTTTAAAAATTAACAAAATTAAATTGAAGCATAGCAATAAATGGACTGATATTTTAATAAATGCTATTACACCAGTACCTACATAACATCTTTCCTGCTTTATATTTTAGCATTTGTATACATAAGAGGTCTATTTCTCTTTATTATAATTTATTTAATATCTTTATATTTCTTACTAGTATCTTTTATTTTGGGGGATGGTATTTAGTTACCCTGGGTCTCTGGGATGAACGCAAAGTTAGAGACATATCACCCTGCCTACAACCACACATTTAATTTAATTAGATTCAGCAGCAGAGTGTTTTCACATTTATTATACACTAGGCAGTAGTATACTTCTCATGTCATATTTTCACAGTTTGGAAATGATAAACAATTCTTACTTTATCTTTCAAAAGAGAATTTCAGTGAAGTTAAAACATTGCCCTATGGGGCAGAGTGTTGTCTAGGGAATTGTATAATGCTATGAATTGTTACTGTGTTACTGCTTTAAGTTAAAAAATTGACAGTAATTTCATCTCTACTGAATCTAGGATTAAAAAATTAGGGTTGTATTTCATGGTTCTGAATTTAAAAAAAAATTTTTTTATGTTATAAACATATTGATCTATGACACTGGGGATACAAAACACAACCAAACTGGTCTTTTATCATATAGGCAGTTTGAGAAGCACTGTTAACAGAAGAGAAGGACTGAAGGACTGGCTTCTAAAAATGAAAGCATGCCAGTTTTATAACCAATACTTGAAGTATTTATTGTAGCACATATTAAAATATTTCCTTTCAAGCTATTTATGAAATGACTTTAAGCTACTAGGACTTAATGTGGTTCCATCTCTTAGGACTATTTCACCAACTGTAGATTCATGACATACATATAATAAAAGAACAAATATTTCAGTGCTCAACTAAGTAACCTCTATCTCTGGTAGATAAATCCCATCATTCTAATTGATGTATAAATATTCACTTCAAAAATTAGCTTTACATAAAAGAAAAAATGACTGGAAGGCTCAAAAAATTAGTTATAATTCAATCTCTCCCTCCACCTCCTAAAACTCTAAAAACACAGAATAAACAATCATGATCTGATCTCTGGTCACTTAATGACAAGACTACCATCCAAGATCTGTGACAAAGAACCATGGCTAAATACCTAAGAAGACTAAAAAATAAGTACTCAAATCCTTGCCCATGAATGTTTGTCGTGGCACTATTCACAATAGCCAAGAGGTAACAACAATTCAAATGTCTACCAACAGGAAAATAGATAAACAAAATGTGGTACATCTGTACAATACAATGGAACATTACTCATTCATAAAGAGGAAAGCAACACTGATACCTGCTAAAACACAGAGGAACCTTGAAAACACATTAAATGAAAAAAGGCAGACACAGAAAGGTCACACACTACATGATTCCAGTGATATGAAATATCCAGAATAGGGAAGTCCACACAAACAGAAAGCAGATTTGTAGTGGTCTATAGCTTGGGGGAGGGGAGGATGGGGGTAACTGATCAATGGCAAAGGGTTTTATTTTGGAGTGATGGAAACATTTTGGAACTAGAAAGCTGTAGTGTTTGATAATATTATGAAGGTACTAAACGTTGGTTTGAATGGTTAATTTTGTATTGTGTGAATGTCACCTGAATGTTTAAAGAGACGTAATTACTGACATGCATTTATCTCAGTACCGAATGCTTCTTCTTCTGATTAACAATCAATAACACATGCTTTTGTTATGCTCTGAAAATTTGCTCCATCGAAAATAATATATTATGTCAGGATTTATAGGAGGGGAAGGTCATTTTCTATGAAAAGCTATGGATAAAACTGGGAATATAGAGCACTTTCAGAAATAAACAACTAGTGGAAGCAACATAAAAGAGATTGTGGAACAGAAAAGTTAAAGAGAAGAAACTGAGGACTCAAAACAAGATCATTACAAATAGTCTGAATCAAGAAGAAAAATATTATAACTGTTAGTAGTGAGAGGGTATCAGCACATTTAAATCAATTAGAATTGAATAAAGAAAAAGGCCTTTCTTTTTCTTCTTTGGGCTCAGAGAGATATATTCTTAACATATCCGTAAATTTATAAGGCTAAAGAAACCCCACAAACTACTCACCACCTTCAAAGTCAAAGAAACAAAAAATTCCCCACCCCTTATTTTACTGGAATTTATAGACTAAATGAAGAACTATCCAATAATTCATCCTGGGAACCACACACTTCTTCAGATGTTAAAGATGGTTTTTAAAAAAGAAAAATTTCATTGCTTCATATTTATGTAACATTTTAACCTAAAATATTATTAGCATGTATCACTGATACATTAAACTAGAATTAATCATTCAAAAAACTATACTTACATATTCCTTCACGTTCTTTGTTTTCACAGTTTTGTATGAATAATATGCAGGATAAAGCATTCCAAACACCAGCCTAAAAGTAAAAAGTATGAGAAGACTAATCAACACAACAGTAAAAGAGCTCATGAAAACTTAACCCAATAGAAACAGAATATTTCTAAGTGCAAATCTGTGTATAAACTAACCTACTCAGAAAAGCAACATCAAAATACATTTTTAAAAGTTTTCAATATTACTTATTTTTAAAAGATCTATTTAGTTATTTGAAAGAGGTAAAGAGAGAGAGACAAAAAGAGAGAAGAGACAGAGAGGGAGATGTTCCACCTGCTGGTTCACTCTCCAAATGCTGTCAACAGCTGGGGTTGGGCCAGGCTGAGGCCAGAAGCAAGGAAGTATACCCGGGTCTCCTATGAGGGTGGCAGCTGCCCAAGTTCTTCACCCATAATCTGCTGCCTTTCAGGGGTACTAGTAAGAAGCTGGATCAAAAGCAGAGCAGCAGGGACAATACAGATGTTCCAAGCCGTGACTTAACCTGCTGCCACAATCCTTGTTCCACAGTATTTTAGATAGCAGTTTCAGGGAAATAAAAGATTTTTTTTGAAAAATTAACATGCAAATCCCTTTTGCTTATCACAAAAAATTCTTAGAAGAACACTTGGTAGGGTCAGTGCTATGGTGTAGCAGGTTAAACTGCTGACTACAGCACAAGCATTCCATAGGGGCACCAACTGGGGTTCCAGTCCTGGCTGCTCCACTTCTGATCCAGCTCCTTGCTAGTGTGCCTGGGAAAGCAGCAGGGAAAGTCTTTGGACCCCTACACCCACATGGGAGACCTGGATGAAGCTCCTGGCTCCTGGCTTCACCCCAGCCATTGTGGCCATTTGGGGAGTAAAGCAGGGATGAAAGATCTCTTTCTCTCTACCTTCCCTTTGTGACCCTGACTTTCAAATGAGCAAATAAATCTTTTTTTTTTTTTTAAGAAAGAGATAAGTTTACAAAAATATTATTCCATTATTCTTTTTTTAAGAGATTTTATTTATTTGAGAGGCAGAGTTACTGAGAGAGGGAGAGACAGAGAGGTTTTCCATCTAGCAGTTCACTCCCCAAATGACCACAATGGCCAGACCTGGGGCGATCAGAAGCCAGGAACCAGGAGCTTCTTATGGGTCTCCCACATGAGGGCAGGGGCCCACTCATTTGGGCCATCTTCCACTGCTTCCCCACACCATAAGCAGAGAGCTGGATTGGAGAGAAGCACCAGTACATGAATGGGCACCCATATGGAATACTGGCGCTGCAGGCAGAGACTTAGCCTATCTCTGACATATCTTAATGTCTTCCAAAATAAATTTCTCACATATAGTAAGGATCTGGTGCTTATGGATACTATATATAAGTTCTTTGTGTTTTTTTTTTTTTTTTTCAACCTCTGTATTGAATCGAAAAAAATCAGGGGCTGGCGCTATGGCGTAGCAAGTAAAGCCACTGCCTGTAGTGTTGGCATCTCATATGGATGCCGGTTTGAGTCCCGGCTGCTCTACTTCCAATCTAGCTCTCCGCTTGGCCTGGGAAAGCAGTGGAGGATGGCCCAATTTCTTGGGCCCCTGCACCCATATGAGAGACCCAGAGGAAGCACCTGGATCCTGGTTTTGGATCTGGGCTGCCGGCCATTGTGGCTATCTGGGGAGTGAACCAGCAGGTAGAAGACCTCTCTCTGCCTCTGCCTCTTTGTAACTTTGCCTTTCAAATAAGTAAATTAAAAAATCAATCAAACAGAATATGTTTAACACCTCTCTCATCAGAGTAGTAAAAATAATATGTTCCATTTGAAACATGGGAAAGATTAAATATCTTAATGAATAGTGGGGCAATCTTTAATAACTGTCACCATTAATATTATAATTTATTATTGTGCCAATGTGAATATTATTGAATTTATTACTAACATTTTTAAGGGATTTTCTCTCCCGCCTCCCTTTTGGGTTATTTTCTTTAACTCTAGGGTCTAAGTATGGATGTTTGCAACCTGGGAGGCCAGGCAGAAAGCCAAAGCATGAGCACAGTGTAGAAAATGAAATAAAGTTTATTTTAGAAGGCCACCTGTAAGATAAACTTAGGATTTATAAAGGGAATATTTGCTACAAAAAACCCTCACCTATAAATTTGATTATTATTTCAGTTATAGAGGCAGGAAGAGTTACTCACTTCCTCTTTTGCCTAAAAAACGAGAACTTTGCCAAAATACTCAAGATACCCTTCGTCTCCCCTCAGCTGAAGTTTCCTTTTGAAATGAATGAACACTGGTTATGTTATTAAATGATACATTTAAAAATTAAATTATTTTTCTAAAATCAGAGTGACAGAAGACAGATGTACCAGGCTTCTTAGGATGAATTCATTACAATTGATAATCTTAAATAACAGCAACACAAAAATGCAACACTTATGATTCAGTTTCCACTAGAGACCCCTGAGACCAGTGACATTCATGTAAGATAGCCTGGAGAAAGGACGGCCAACGTGCAGAGGTTCCTCTGCTAGTCCCTGTTCCTGTGACTAGACAGAGATTGCTAGTCATTCACTGTGCTCATTTCTCAGAACCCCGGTCTCAGAATCCTTGTCAATGTGGCACCATACCTCACATTAACAGGATAGGAGCTAGCAGACCTGCCACATTTTGCCAGTCTTATTCTGAATCTTTATTCCCTAGGTAGTGTTATCCTAACTTTGGATCAAGCTTGACCACCAGGTTATATTCCCCAACTATTCTATCTATCTTCTTTGGGAGAAAGATCATACTACATTCTTGATTTTCCCTGAAGAATATTCTAAAAACCTGCTGTATGAAACCAAGTACTACAGGGAGAGTGTTAGGGGCTATTTTTGTTATATTAGTAGTATCCCTATAGTGTCTGAAACACTTACAATGCAATGCTTAGTTTTCTTTCAGAAAATGATGCCGTTCCTTCTATCTGATTAGAATTATATTATTCCTTTTTAAATTTTTCATGGAAATGCAGACTCAAATCTGTTGTTCAACTGTATTAACTATGGTGGCCCTCTGGCATGTCTTATTCACCAAACTTTGATTTTCTTTGATTGCTACTTTTTATCTCAATTTTCTTCATTTCTTTATATTTTAACAAATCCATTTGGTAAACGGATTTTGAAAGAACATACAGAACATACATGGTTAAAATGTTAAGTATAATTCAGCACAAAATTCATCTCCAAAGTGCCAGGCAACTACAGTGGGCCCTCAACCTAGCCACACATCAAAATCACCTGGAGAGCTGCTTCTTTAACACCACTATCATTGTTATTCATAAATTTAGTATCATTAACTTAAATGAGATAATAAAGCAGGATATGCATAAAAGTCTTCTTCCATTTTGAAATGACCTGTTTCTCCAAAGATATGCATAGAAACAGTTTCTTGGCTGTCCTTGTAAGGACATAAATACATATGAAGTATATTAAAAACAGACATTAAAACTCAAAAACTTGGCCGGCGCCACAGCTCACTAGGCTAATCCTCCGCCTGTGGCGCTGGCATCCTGGGTTCTAGTCCCTGTCGGGGCACTGGATTCTGTCCCGGTTGCTGCTCTTTCAGTCCAGCTCTCTGCTGTGGCCCGGGAGCGCAGTGGAGGATGGCCCAAGTGCTAGGGCCCTGCACCTGCATGGAAGACCAGGAGGAAGCACCTGGCTCGTGGCTTCAGATTGGTGCAGCGCGCTGGCTGTAGCGGCCATTTGGGGGGTGAACCAACGGAAAGGAAGACCTTTCTCTCTGTCTCTCTCACTGTCTAACTCTGCCTGTCAAAACAAAACAAAACAAAACACCTCAAAAACTCATCCTTATTAGTAACAATAGTACTTCTATTTTATTCCTAATTATTTATTTTCCCTTCAAGTTATGTACCTTCATTCTTCTCTGTATGGTAGAAATACTAATTGTGCTGTGAGTATCTCTTCCTAGCTCCACAGTTAGTGAGGTCACATTTGCGGCTTGAAATGGACCATTGTAGGGAGCATTTTACATTATGGAAAGCAGCAAATGATATGACTCAGTGCCCTTTCCCTCAGTTGTTAACCATTACCAGCATACTACTGCCTGCATGTGCTTTAGCCAAGGGAAACTTATAGCATGTTTCTATCAGGAGAACAATGAAACAGTATATGTAGGGGACATCACGGAATGAATTGAAATCAAAAGGCAGCTCATCTAACAATATTTTAAAAAGGCTTCCCACAAGATTAAGAAAAGAGAAGGAGGGCAAAACATTCTGCCATTTATTATAGCTCACTCTAATTCTGTATAATATTAGTTCTCCAATATTAGTATAGATTATAGTGAATTTTAAAATAGAATCACAATAAGGAACCAAATAAGGAATTCTAGAAATAATGTACTTTAACATAGGTTTTCCAGATTGCGTCTTTCAAAGTAGTATTCCTCCCCCAAAGGAAGCCTGTTTTAGGAAGTTCATAAATAAAAGAGATAATGCAATTAATAGTTGCCAGAAATAATTCAATTTCAGTGGTTTTAGAATTATCTGAGAAATTCTAACCCTTCAGAATTATTTGAAAAGCATCCCTATAATTGGCTCAGTAGTTCCCAGATCTGTTTGAGTATAATAATCAACTGGGAATGAATATCATTGAAAGTAGGGCCCAAGAATCTGAATTTCTAAATTTTGTTTCTTGAACTATCTGAAGGGTGAAAATATGCTTACTCAATATGCTGTCAGTATGGTGAGCTGGTTTTGGTCTAACTGGACTTTTAAAAGTAATGTGAAAGTGACTACAGGTTATCTTGACTTTGGCCAAATTCCACATGAAAGAGATCATTATAAAGCAAAAGAGAAGCAATTATATAAACCAAAATGACAACAACAATTTAATAAACCTTTGAAAATAATCTATTTGTGCCAAATCAAATGATTCCGAGTAGTACAAAGTTTAGTGGTAGCAGTATTGTCCCTGTGATAAAACTTCCTCTGTGGGTCATTTTGCTGCTGTGTAAGCAGCAAGAGTTCATGCATCACTGCCAAAATAATATATATGTGTTGTTGT